CGGCGCGCGCGGGGGCGGAGCCAGGCCAGTGCTACTGCTATAGACTTGGATGTCATCTGCGCCGCCGCCGCCCTGCAGTCCGCCGAAGAGACTTTCGCGCGGGCCTGCGCGTCGGCGGTCTGCGCGAAAACCTGGCGAAGATTAGCCGGCCTTGGGCGGGAGGTGGGCGCGGCGACGCTCCCCGGGGCGCCGGTGCTCCGACGCGGCGGGCCCCCTATTGCTGGCCCCCGTCAGCGCCGGGCACCCGCGGCGCCCGCGGCCGCCCCGGCCGAAGGCAACCTGCCCCCCGACGGGGGGGGCCCGAGGTGGCGGCCTGGGCGCAGAGCCGCGCGCGCGTCTTCCTGCGGCTCCGCCAGCTGCGGGCCGCCGGCCTGGACCGACAGACCGCTTTGGTGTTGCTGCGGCGCGAGACGGCCTCGGACTTCGCGTTCCTGGTCCGCGCGCGCGGCGCCGGCACCGGGGGCGCGGCGTGCCCTGCCGCGCGGGCGCCCGCTGGGCGACTACGGCGGCAAGCAGCTCTTCCGACGCGGACGAGACGGAGGCCTCGGGCTACATAGCGCAGAGCTGACGGCGCTGGCAGCTCGCGCCGCCTCTCGGCACCTCTGCTTGCCGCGCTGCCTGCGCAGGCTGGGCCTGATCAGACTTGAGCGCCCTAGCTGGCCTAAGCCCGCGGGCGCGCCGCTGCCTTCATGCGGCCGCGGCTGCGCTGCAAACAGCGCTGGGGGACGCGACCGCCCAGGTGTGCGACGAGGCCCTGGCGACGACGCAGCGCCCCCTGGCTGCGGCCCCTCCTGCGGCGGCTGCCCGCCCGGTCGCCGGTTTGGCGGCGAGCGCGGGCCGCGACGCGGCTGCGGCGCCGCGCTCGGCCGGAGGCGCCAGGGCAAGCGGCTGGCTGCAGGCCCCCGCGCGAGCCCGCCGCCGCCTCGCCGACGCGCAGTTCGGCATTGCCAGGGTTCTGGCTTCATCTCGACCTGCCGTTCTGCACGGGGCTGCGCCAATGCCGGCGCCCAGACGGCAGCGGTGCGCTGCAGGGCTCGAAGGGCTGGCGCGCCCGGAGCTGCCCGGCAGGCGGGTGGCTGGTCCGCCGGCATGGCGCGGGCTGCGCGGTGCTGGCGGAGTGGTGCGAAGCACAGGGTTGCGCAGTGCACGGAGAGGCCTTGCTGCCCCGCGTCTCACCGCAGCGCCCCGAGGCGCGCGTGGATCTGTTAGTCCACGCGCCAGGCGTCCCGGCACCACACCTGATCGACCTCGCGGTCGTGGGCGCGACTTCGCAGGACGCTCTGGCGAATGGCGCCGCGGGGCGGGGCCGCCGCCGCTGCCGCGGAGCGCAGGAAGCGAGCCCGCTACCCCGGCGCGCCGGTGATCCCATTCGTCGTGGAGGACCATGGGGGATTCGGCGAGGACGCGGCAGCCCTGGTGCGCCAGCTCGCCCCCGCGGGTAGCGCGGCACGCCGTCCGGCAGTTGCGGCGAGCCTCGGAAGCGCGCTGCAGCGGCGCGCCGCGGACGCGGTCCTTGCAGCCACGCAGGTGCGGCCGTGGCGGGCCGCGTTGCGCCAGGGCTGGCGCGGCCCGGGGCCGTGGCGCCGCCGCCTGGAGACGCTGGAGGGGCTGGGGCTGCGCCAGCCTGGGGACGGTGAAAGCGCCTGGCTTACAGGCGCAGGCTGACGCCGCGCAGGGCCGCCTGGCCAGGCCGCCAGACGGAAACAGCCGAGGGCTCGGGGTGCAGTTCCTGCGGCGCGACGCCACTGGAGCAAGGCGCAGGGGCGCCAGCCAGGGCGCTGCGCCCGCGGGCTGTGGGGGGCCGGGCGGCTGCGCGTCTGGGGGCAGGGCGGGGCGGCGCAGCGCTGGCGCGGGCGCCGCTGGGCCTGCCGTAGGAGGTGCAACTGCCGCGGAAAGGCTGGCTGGGGAACGGACCGGGGCGCCGGGCGCGAGCGGCCGCGCAGGACGCCCGTAGGCGCGGCCGCCACTGGGCGCCGTGGGGCAGCTGGCGCAGGCGGGCAACCGGCCGTCGCGGCCGTCCGCGCCATCCTGGACGTCGCCGACCTGGTCCCAGGCATGCGAGGTATAGGCCCTGGCTGGCGCACCCCTTCCTCATTGGGGGTGGCTTGTCGCTGAGCGGTGGTTCGCAACTGCTGTGGGGGGGGCGCGCCGGCCCCCGACTGCAGAGCGCCGGCGGCAAGGGGGCCCGCGTGGCGCGGAGAAGGGGGATGGAAGGAGGAGGAGGAGGAGGGAAGGATGATGATGATTATGACGATGATGATGATGGTGATGATGATGATGATGATGATGATGATGTTGATGATGATGATGATGATTATGATGATGATGCTGATGATGATGATGATGCTGATGATGATGATGATGATGATGATGATGATGATGATGATGATGATGGTGATGATGATGATGAGGATGACGATTATGACGATGATGATGACGATGCTAATGGTGATGATGATGATGGTGATGATGATGAGGATGATAATGCTGGTGATGATGATGAGGATGATGATGATGATGATGAGGAGGAGGAGGAGGAGGATGTGGAGGGTCGCCAACTGAAAAAGCGTAGGGCTAAGTGGAGAAAGTTTCAAAAGGTCCCGCCGTCTCAAAACCAAAATGTTAAGTCCAGTCTCCAGTCGGCCTTGACATACGATGCCCAGCTCCAAAGATGTCTTCTTCGGGAAACTTAAACGCCGAAGAAATTAGCGGCCGTTCTTGGGGCGGCGCCCGCGACCAGGCTTGGCCGATCGGGCCACGCAGTGTGGCAACGTTCTCCATGCGGAGGGGGGGGGGCTTGTGCTACAGTCGAAATCCGTAATGAGGGCACGACTTTCTTTGGGGTGCTGTTGCGTCCTTGCCTTTTCGGCCTCTCCTTCGCCGCTTTCGCTGGCCAGCCCCTTTCTCTGGTCCCGACGCCCATTCGGCAAAGGCGGGGTGGGTCAGGGTGCCCTGGCGCCCCCCGGGTGTTGGCAGCCCGCCGCCTTCAAAGTGCCAATTTCAGCGTCCAAGGCCCTTGCGTTCTTACCGTCCGCCCTCACTATCCACAGGTTTAGACGCCTCGTGGATGTTCGTTGGAATCTCGTCGGAGGCCTCTCGGGGGCCTTTAGGAGGCAGTTGTGATGCCTCTTGGGGGACCGTTTGACGCCTTCTGGGGGCCCGTCCTCATTGTAGATTTTGATTGTGGTGCAGCCATCAGCTAGGGGGGGTGCGACGTGGGTGCCAGGCCGCCATGAAGGGAGCGAATTTCATCTTCGTGGGCACCAAGGACCAGGCCGCGCCGCGGGGTGGCCGGGGCGGAGGACGTGGGCCCGAGTCGGGGGTCAAGGGGCGGGGTTCAATGCAAACGCGGGCCAGCCAGAGCGCCAGATCTTGCAGGACCCTGCAGGGCCAGGGGTGCACTGACCTGGGTTTGGGTGCAAGACCCTGCAGGATCCTGCAGTACTTGCGGGATCCTGCAAAGCCTGATTGACCCTGGTGTGGATTGACCCGGGTCAGTAGATCCCCGACCGAGGCGGGGCCGAGTGACCGGCGTTCAGGAACCAACGCCGAAGTCGGCACGACACGAACTTGCCGTACAGTGGAAACCCATGCCAACAAAAACACCCTGCGTGCCTCCAGGGTGCCCTGGGTTTCTTGGGTTTCAATGGTCTTGCTATGGAAAGCGTGACGTGCCCACACCAAAAATCAATGGACGTCCTGGGGATCCAGAGTAGGGTTTCTCGTGGAAGGTTTCTTGTGGTCGAGCCCCTACAGCACGCGGCGGGGAACAGTGACGCTTTGCACCAGTAGCCCGGGAGGCTTGCGGTCAAGGCCAGAGCGGAACCCCAGGGAAGTGCAGTAACGCTTGCCACCAGGACCGACAGGCACTCTCTCCCGGCACTGGGTTCGGAATTCGTCGAGCACGCGGCGAATTCCGAACCTTGCCCCCGATTTTTATTGATTCAGGAGAATCGATAGTTGAGGGGGGGTAGGGTTCGGATGTCGCCACCTCATGGGAGAAATGGCTGCCAAAGGAGGGAACTGTATTTCTAGACGCTTCGCGTAACCCCACCAGTGCGCCGCAAGGGCGACTTACTCCGCAGCTTGCACCTCTGTGCGCTAGGTGCGTCCCAGAGAATGCTGAGCATTTTGCTCAGTGCACGTGCATTGCACGCCTCGCGTGGAATTTGCCTGTTCCGCCGTCCCGGACACGCCTGTTGCCGCCAGACCATTGTCGCGCGGCCGCCGACCAAAAAAGTAACCCCACCAGCCCATCCAGAAACGATGCCCAGAGGAAGTGCTTCGATCAGGGAAGTGGGCAACACACAGAGGAAGGGTCCCCCAGTGGAGGCCTCTTGGCGGTCCCAGACGCCTCTTAGAGCGTCTTGGGTGCCTCGGAAAGCTTCTTGGGGCCTCTTGGGGGTCTCTTGGGGGCCTCGTGGAGGCCTCTGGGGCGCCTGTTGGGGCCTCCTGGGGCTTCCTGGGCGCCTCTTGGGGCCCTCTTGAAGCGCTCTTGGGATCCTTGGGAACGCTCTCGGGGCCCTCTTGGGCCATCTTGGAGTCATCTTGAAGCCTCGGATGGCCATCGGAAGCGAAAAGGCGAGAAAACCCAACATGTTGTTATTCCCAAGGTTTTGGAAGGATTTTGGCCTCTTCGGGGCCTCCTGGGGGAGCTCTTGGGCCACTTGGAGCCGTCTTGAAGCGGTCTTGGGGCCTCTTGGAGCATCGTGGGAGCCATCTTGAGGCATCTTGGGATATCTTGAGCCATCTTGGAGGTCATCTTGGGCTCTCCCAGGCGTTCGTGGAGTCATCTGAAGCAGTGCCCCCCCCCCCTCCCCCAGGAGGCCCACATATGGCCAAAACCTCAGTAAAATCGATGATATTGGCATTATCGCCGAGGCTCTTGGGGCGTCTTGGGTGCCTCTGGGGGGTGTCTTGGGGCCTCCTGGGTCGCCTCTTGGGAGCATCCTGGGGGGCCTCTTGGGGGCTTTTTGGGGCCACGTTGGGCCATTTTGGGGCCATCTCGGGGCCTCTGGGGGCCTCTCAGTAAAGCCAATGATGTTGGTTTCCTCGCCAAGGCCGTTTTGGACGCTCCAACGCGTCGCGGACCCCCCCGTCCAGGTCCAAGGGATGGGGTAGGGGGGTAGGGTTCGGCTGTCGCCACCTCATGGGAGAAATGGCTGCCAAAGGAGGGAACTGTAATTTGCCGATGCCACTGCTCGTCCTGGAGAGCCCTCGTCGCCGCGGCGGGGTTCTCCTCGAACTTCTGGTCAACATACATCTTGGCAAAGCCGCCGTCGCAGTCGCCGTCGCCGTCGCCGCCGCCACCGCCGCCGCCGCCGTCGCCGTCGCCGTCGTTGTCGTCGTCGTCGCCGTCGCCGTCGTGGGCGAGTCTGTTGGGCGGGCGGGCGGGCGAAGTACATCAGCGGTCGTAGGCGAGTCGGTCGACGGCGTCGTCGACGGCGTCGTCGTCATTGTCGTCAAGGGAACAGCGGTATCCGTATTTTTTTGTTCCCGTGGGTCGGCTTGTCATGATCCTATTCGGCTGGCATTCGGGAGCTTCGGGCGGAGCTTCCTGCTGGCATCGATTAGCGGCTTGAGGAATCATCGGGTAGGGCATGGGGGGCAGGGGGGAATATGGGGAACGGTGGGATGTGTAAAGCGAGGCAGGGGGAGGGGAGACGGGGAGGGCAGGGGGAGAAGCCAGGGAATGGGGGGAGGGCAAATGGAGACAGGGGGAAAAACAGAGAGCGGGAAAGCCCCCATCCACTCCTTTTCCCCTTGCCACGCACCTTCCGGGGCCTCTTCGGGTTTTTTTGGGGGATTGGTTGTCTCGGCGGCCATTTTTCTTTGAGAGGAGCCCCAAGACGGCCCAAGAGGGCGCCAAGAAGGTCCAGAAAAAAACACAACATAATCTCGAGGGACGCCCACACGGTCCACCAGGGCGTAATAAGCCATCGAGAGACCCCCAAACAACTCCCAAGAGAACCCAGGGAGCCAGGCATCATGTGCACGGGACGGCGAACTCGACAAACCAGCTCGGCACACCAGCACGGCAAACCAGCACCATGAATCGATAGCATGCGTGTTGGTCTGCCGTGCTACGTTTCTGATGGGGCGAAGTTCCCAGCCATATATATATATATATATCCATATATATATATATATATATATATATATATATATATATATAAGTATTATCGAATCCGGTAAGCGTGGTGGATACAGCTGCGCTTCCCACTCACAGTCAATCAGGTGCGTTTTACGAATAGAAGGATGTGGTCTCTTAGCTCTAAAGGAGGCTTGGCAAAGTCGAGAGGTAGCGAGCGTTTGTCCGCGGCCGTTGGTTCTCAAGCGGCCGGCCGCCAAGATATGACTGCGCCTGATCGCGAGGCATACCATTCGCCATCGAGACCGAAAACGTTTTCGCTTGACATGGCCCGTCGCTCTCGCGACTCACTCCTACTCTTTGGGACTATCGTTATTACGGTACAACAGAGTTGGATATGGGCTGCGCTTTGGCGAAGTATCTGGTTGGGTTTCCCAGCCCCCTTCAAACTTGGTAGTGGAGGTGGCCTATGGGGGCCACCTCTAGCTTTACTCATCACCATCAACGGCATTATTTGGTGGACTACTGTCATGGTGGAACATAAAGGGTGCGCTGGCTCTGCGCGGAGGAATAAACACATACGCGCACTCGCAAGGACACTTGCACTGCTACCTCTGCTCACGCGGAGGTCCCCGACATGAGTCCGACCGCCCTGCGCTGCTACTCTTCTGCAGTCCACTCTCTTAATCCAACATGCATGGTAACGTGCGATGCGATTTATGCCGCCTCCACTTCCACGCGGACTAACGACGACGTCACATCATAAATCACAGCCGCAAACGACCGACCACGACCTACGAGGTCATTGGGTCGGCATTACCATATTTGGCCTTCTATGGTTCGCTATCGGATGTGCTGTTGGACACGCGCAGCGTGGCGGAGACGACGCGCGCAGTGCCAGCCCCCGCTGGGGCCCTGCCGGTGACGTACCTTTTCCGCGAGTCCGTTCGAGAGGTACACGCCAGGATCAACGAGACTACAGGCGCCGTAGCCCCCCCGCCACCAGGCTGCGGCAGTACAGCGTGGTCTGGGAGGGCTCGCGAGGACCATGGCCATGTGAGTTCCCCCAGCTGTAATTCACTTCGGTGTTAATATTGGTGGTCGTCACGCCGATGGCGTCACGTATATCGCGTTCCCCCTCAGCGCAAAGTTTGAAAATCAAGAGGGGGAGCGCCAGCTCAACTCGGGAACGGCCCCCATCGACTTTCGCGTCCACGCGGGGGGGCGGATCGACCAGCCATAAGCCCGCTTTGATATAGCACGCTTTGAGGCCGAGACCGCGGGCTTCAACATCCCTAACTTCCAGATCCTAACAGCAATATTGATTAGAACCCTGGGTGTTGGCACATCGCGCGCGCAGCAACTACTACAACCGCTAAACCACCAAATGACAAGGGCCCAGCAGCAGTTCGACGCCCTATTAGAGCGCACGAGATCCTACGCTCATATTGCCGAACGGACTTCTGGCAATATTGGTAGCATATTTAGCCGCAGTCATCGCGCCGAAGCCTTGCATTCCGACGCCCATGCAGGGCAACCTGCTGATGACGTCAGGAACGACGATCCACAACCAGCTGAGGCCACCGCTCTATTAAGCCAACAGGGTGGCCAGCCTGCGGGGTCGCAAGACTCTTGGGCCCGCTATCAGGGGCCGCAGGCTACGGCGCCCCCTACCCAAGCCGCTGCCCTTGCACGCTCGGCGGGGTCCGAATTTGACTCCAGCACCGACGCCGACGCCTCGTCGGATGACGGGAGTGGCAACCCGGACTACTCGGACATGCTTGTATATCTAACTGAAGAGCAGCAGGCGCAGTGGCTATTCATAGGAAACCAGAGACACAGACGCCGATGGAGACGTTCGATGAAGAAACCAGTTCGCGAGGTACGACGCGCGGTCCGACGGGCGTTTGGGTCAATGGACAAGGGTAGAGGTGAGGGTAAACGACGTAGGTTACGTGGCCGTTGCATGCTGGCATTCTTGGCATCCCTTACGGGGCAGCAATATGAAGAAATATTCAATGGGGTCAGGTAGAGACCGCAGGCGCGCCTCAGGAAAAGGCAAGGGACGTCGGGGCAACCCGAAGGATGCCGACGTGAAAACCACGGAATGAGACATTTTTGTCGCGAGTGCCCCCGAGGCGATGGGAGAGGCAGGGGTCCGCAGACAGATTCGGCTCCAACCG